TTCCTCAACAGCAACCCAGGAAAGTCCTTGTCCGCCGTTTGGGCACTCTACCGGCAAAGGACTGAGTGTAGGGTTTGGGGGGGTTTTCTTACTGGTGGTCAGTGAAGGAAGGAAGGAGTGGGTATAGAAGGGCTTGATAGGGATTACCATTGGGATTTATACTTTTTTTCGTTAGTAACCCGTTTATCTGGGGCATGTGGCTTGTTCTTGGGGATTCAGGCTTCGGGATTCAGGACTGGATAGCAGGAGCTAGAGCTGACGATGGACGTCAGCTTGCAAAATTAAGCAGAAAAGTTGTGTGAACGACCTGGACTTTAAAAGTTCCCAGGATGAGGCTGTAGAGCGCAGAAGTGCGCAAGATTTCGCTCAATACCCGAGAAACCCAATGATCAAAGTTTAGAAGTATGGGCCCTCGATATGCGCCCTTAGTTTTTTTGGGAGGATTCTAGGGACCCTGAAGGGTACATGTAGGGTATACAGTAGGTATGTAAGGATCCCAGGGTTAAGGGCCCATGCTAGGGCTCCATAATTTCAACCGTAGAGACAAGGAACTACATAGAAGCCCTAGGGAAGGCCTGCCATAACCGTTGGTCTAGTACGGAAAAGTTTTCGAACAACCAGCATGACCTAAAACACCCCAATCTTCGGGAACTATGGCTCTGTAATGTAGTATGGCCACGCAGGATTTTTGCATGTCAATCTTACACCTTAAACCCCAAGCGCTACGCATATCCGTTTCTAACGCCTATACCACCTTCAAAAGGTTAGTTGTGATCATGGAGGTCTTGAGCATCAGACATGGGAAGTGTCGCCGGGCATCCGCTCCCCCCTTTACAACGGACTCTCTAGCACAAAGTGTGTGCCATGAAAGGAGTAGTCAGCCCTGAAACCCAAGCTCGAAGGTTTAAGGATTGGGGTCCTAATCACTAGGTCCAACACTCCAAACCAGCCAGAGCCCCTAAGCCTGACCTCTCAAACCCGGAGTACAGGTACCACTCTAGTGGATCAATGTAAGGGATCCATTATACTTTTAGGGGTATGGGAGTCCGTATGTTTATATAAAAGGATCATTTTTTTCTTACTGGGGTACTGTGGGCTAAGGATCATGGGTTGTATGAGGATGATGCAGCTCATGCATTTCAGCTTGAAGGTTGGATACTCAAGTCTCAATTCTGCTAATTATTGGCCCACAATAGGTATAGAGCTTGCCTGGAGGACCCCAACAACAAGCAAAATAGTAGCCCCAAACTTCACAAAGCAGCAAAATGCAATAATTCTACACATTTTAGTGGTTTAGGTGTGCATTATTTTCCAGACCTAAACCCTAAACCCCCTGGAACCCCAGGGCGATCTAGAGCAAGATGTTATGATCTCCCTGGTGGTTGCAATTTGTAGCAGCAAATTCCTGACAAGGTTTAGGGTTTAGGGTTTAGCGTTTAGGGTTGGGGACCCTAAACCCTAAGCCTAAGCCCTAAAGCCTTTTAGATTGAGTGTTGCCTCACACATTGAGCCCAATAAGAACAATGGGGACTTAGTAATAATGGAAAAGAACATGGAAACTACTATTATATTTAGGGTTTAGGGTTTAGGGCAAATCATTGACCCTAAGCCCTAAACATTAAAACTCTAAACCCTACACCGCTCGAGGTGTTTGGATTACGGATCCTAATCTTTTGAGAGATTCCAAGCAGCTGGCATGGGTTGGGATCCAGTTTTTTGAATAGATCAGGCCGCACTCTACTTGGAGGGTCAGGGGGACTTAGTAGGTAGGTTAATAACCCCTATAACCCATATAGTAACCCTAATTATCCCCGTTATTAGCCTACTTACTAAGTCCCCCTGACCCTCCAAGTAGGGGTTAAGGTCTCCGCTTTGAAAGAAGCCCTAGCTAACTGCCCCAAACCTTATACTTGGAGTGCTGAACCCTAGGCCCTAAACACTGACCCTAAACCCCTAAACTCAAGAGCCCGAACCCCCTGAACTTCAAAAAACAAAACCCCCTTGACCCTCAAACTCCGCACTCCACATCCCTAGAAAACCGAAAGTCTGACTCTTAAACCCTAAACCCTGAACCCTAAACCGCGCCCGGGTACCCTAGTCCTTTGCAACCTGCAGCTCTTCAACCTTAAAGACTACACTGCTCCTTGAGGTCCCTCATAAAGCCCCACAACCCGAAACCTGCAACCCTCAACCCTACACCCTACACCCCAACAACCCTTGTGTGGAGGAAGGACGTAGAGGCTGTGGCACTGGGTGTGGCAGTGGATCTCAATTTGGCACTCTGTCAGCTGAAGCTGAACAACTGGGACGCGGCAACTCGAGCATACTCGAGCATGTAATGTACTGTTTAGGGATTTAGGGGTTAAGGGTTTTGGGCTTAGGGTTTAGGGATTCGTGTCTGGGCCTCAGGTTGCAGATTCAGGGCTAGGGGTGAGGGTGCAGGGTATAGGGTGTAGGGATCAGGGTGTAGGGATCAGGGTGTAGGATTAGTACCCTAACAATAATGGAGAATGACATGGAAAAGAACATAGAACATCACATGGAAACAAGGTTTATGGAGGGCTTACTGGCGTTATGCATTGTAGGGAAGTCTGAATATGGAGCAAGTCTATTCGAGGCTTTCATGTACCCTATACTATACCATGTTGTTAACACTAAACCCTAAACCCTAAACCTTAACCCTGAACCCTAAACCCTAAACCCTAAACCCTAAACCCTAAGACATAGTCTCCGGGGGGCCGGCCCCGGGGGCTTATTGCGGATACAAGAAGCGGACAAGATGATCAACTCATGGACTGAGGGTTGAGAGTTTAGGTGAGTAGTCTTTTATTTGGGGATACCATGGCACCCAACAAGGGGTTTAGGGTTTAGGGGTTTAGGGTTTAGGTTTTGGGGATACTATGGTACCCAATATAGGGTTTAGGGCCCTAAAATGGAGAATCAAATGGAAAAGAAAATGGAAAATGAAATGGACACTGGGATTATATGGGTGTTATTTAATGTAGTATTTTATTTGGGGATACTATGGTACCCATTATAAAGTAAGATTATATCCTCCTTTTGGGGTTATAGTATTTCATATAAGGAATATAATCTTACTAGGTTCAACCACCAAAAAAAGCACTACTCAGGTGCGGGATTGGGGTTCAGATGGGGGTCTCTCAGCATGACCGGTGGAGATTCTCACTTTCAACCCCCCCATCTCTTCTTCACGGAATTGGTGCTCCGCGTAGGCCACCGTAAGACCCCAACCCCACATCGCGGAATCCTCGACCCGAAGCACGGTTTAGGGTTTAGGTGTTCTAGGCTACGAGTAGATTGGGAGAGGGTAGCTGTCTGATTCCTGGACGGGCAATTTGCCTTTGTTGGAATGCACAATTTTCTCAGTAATCCCAACTAGGACTTGGAGTCTTGGCACGTCCCGGTAAGTGTGTTCATAACCTAACCCCTTTTCTAAGGTATACACCTCAACACTTGCTAAAATCAGAGCCTGACTTACTAAGGTCCCTTCCCCTCCAAATGGTGTCTCCCAACCCTTGGATGGAGACGCCCTCTTAAACCGCACTGAGCCTGAACCCCAAAACCGAAACCGTAAGAAATGAACCCTATAGACCCTAAATGCATCCTATACCCGAAATCAGCTGATCCTAAAACCATAGATGCCATACCTTAAACGAACCCCTACGCCCACACCCCGAAAATCCCATACGCTACATGAACCTCAAAGCCCCAAATCCCAAAGCTCTCCCTTCTAATAAGCCTGAGCCTTGCCTAAACCCTAAACCCCACACCGTAAACTCCTAAGCCCTGAGCCCTAAACTCTGTCCCTGAATCCTAAACCCTAATTAAATCCTAAACCCTCTATCTCCCTGAAGCTGAAAGCCTCTACTCAAAACCTTAGCCACCCTTCGATCACACCTGTGACCAAAAATCTGGGCTGCTGTTAAGGAACTTGGAATGGGGTTTAGGGTTTAGGGCTTAGAGCATGTACAAGGTAAACAATAGGCTTTGCTTACGATTGTAGCTTATGAGGTTCCTTAACAGCAGCCCAGGCCCTAAACCCTAAACCCTTACTCTTAAACCCTAAAGCCTGAAGCCTAAACCCTAAAGCCTANNCTAAACCCTAGCCCCTAAACCCTAGCCCCTAAACCCTAACCCCTAAACCCTAGCTCCTAAACCCTAAACTCTAAA